AATAATTTACTTCTCTACTACTAAAAAAAAAAATTTTAAAGTATTAAATCTGAGCTATGTGACCACTAGTCCTTACGACACCCTACTCTTAAATTTTAGGTTGCTCTTGTGCTCAATCGATTTTACTTAGCACTTATTCGATGTTTTGTTGGTTATGTAGGCGGGGAAAGTAGACAAAAAAATAAAAAATAAAAAATAAAAGACATCAATGAAGTAGAGAGAGAGAGAGAGGAGCACATGAATAAAGGAAAAGAGAGTTATAGTTCCATCAGCAGGGAAGCTGATGGTTTACCGGGGAGAATTAGAAGTGGGATGGATGGTGACCCATTTTTCAAACCAACACTAAATAACTGGTTGGCCTTCCAAGTTGATGGGTGAAACTGTTATTTCTTCATGTGGGAAGCCTTTGGGTTCTAAGAGGGCTTGTATTGAGCCCGACCTATCATGTACAAATTGATAAATGAGGTTCTGACATGTAAATGCCAGATAAAGTATGTTCTAGGGAGTAAGTAACCTTTCTTGTTTCTTTACTCTTTTTAGGGAAACATTTTTTTTAAAAAAAAGTAACAAAAAAGAATTGTTACCAAAACAACTACTTCTATTTAAAATCAATTTAACTTGGATTGAAAACATAAAGAATGATTAGGGAGTCAGCCTATTGACTCAGTGATTATAGTGAAATGGCCAAAACACTAACTCTAATGTGCCAATTCCAGCTTAGCCAATCAGAAAGAACTACTAACAGACATCTACCGACTTGATTATAGCTTTGGGATCTCCCAACCTAGATAGCAATCCCGCTCTAGAAAAGGGATCTTCAAGGGATTTCGATTTTTAAATATTTGCGTTCTCAATCATTTTTTTTTTTTGAGCAGGGAGGGCCCGATTCGCCCCTCAACACTTGGTAGGAATCGAGCCTATGAAATTAGGCATGCAATCAAGCGCTAGCCAATCCATCCTGGGCTCTCTTCCTTTGTGATCTCAATCATTGCTAATAGGGATTCATCCCTACTATTAAGGATTTATTCCCCACCTTTAAGACCAAGATAACAACCCAACTAATGGTTTTCTTTATTTAAAGCCAGCTAGGAATGCAACCATACATTTAATATTGTTGCATTTCTTGCTGGCTACAAAGAAAGAGATCTATATTGTAAAGAGTATATATAGTCCTAGATTAAATACCCCAAAAGGTTGGGATTGAGATCATATGAGATCGAGATTAAGATCATCAAAAGGTTGGGATCTCGATCCCTAACATATACAATATATGGATCTATACACTTAATATTGTTGCATTTCTTGCTGGCTACAAATAAAGAGATCAATACTTTAAAGAGTATATATAGTCTTAGATTAAATACCCCAAAAGATTGGGACTGAGATCATAGGAGAGATCGAGATTAAGATCATCAAAAGGTTGGGATCTCAATCCCTAATATATGCATTATATGGATGAAGGTCCTCACCATAGGGATCTTCAAGCCATTCAGGGTCCCCAGTTCCTGATCCCAATCCCAACAAGTATTGTTTTTAAGATACTATAGTAAATTTAATCTTCTATAAAGTCAATAACTAACTTTGCCATCAAGGAAGTGTTCCTGCAGAACTGGCAATTATGCAGGGGCCAGATCTGACTACTTTGCTTAGGGTAAGAAACCTATTTTCAGTAAATGTTGATATTTAGGGGAAGAAATTGTTGGGAAGAGCATCTCAAACTACAAGATCAAGAGAAAAAAAAAAAGTATATATTCTAAAAATAAGGAAGACGAAACATTGCAAGAATTGAGGAGAATACAAAATTAGGACGTAGCTAATAGACATCTCTATCAGCTTTCAACATGATAACTAGTGCAACTCTAAAATATAGAATCAAAGCAAACTTGAAAATAGTTAAACATGAACTAACAACATATATTTTTGAAGATTCCGAAGGATAGAATTGTTGAATAATGAATATCTATTATAGCTGGAAGAAATAGTTCTCTTACCTGTCAACAAAGCTATTTGATGAAGACATAATATAATCATACGTATAGCTGAAGTTGTATAAAGGTATACAGCTGCCAAGGGAAATGAGATACCCAGAGTTAGCTAGCTCTGTCAAATTTTTTACTATGTTCCAAGTTTCAACAAAACAGTATATAGTTACGCAGTTACAATGACATATATAATTATTATTTATAATAGAGAAACAAACTGATTGGTTTTCAAAGTACCGGTCTTGTAACGATATAAGAACAAAACGCAGATCCCCAAATCCCAAAGAGTTTTTTAGCAGATTTGAACCTGTGAAGGATGTCTCATTATGTTTCTAGCAGATTCTATCAAACTTCTCACCGGTTGTTCCATGTGTAATGCACCACACATACTTATCAATAGATGTCCATTTCCATCTATGATTATGACAAAAGTTGAAACCCTCCAAAAAATTCAACTCATCATAACCGCTACAGTTACCTATTGTGATCCCATTGAACCACTGCCTTTGTGTGTTCCATTGAATGTTACTGCTGGTAAAAATTTGGCGACTTCGTTACTATAAATTCATTTGATAGACGTGGGTCTCAGAAGAATAGTTGCAAAAATCATATTAGCTTTAGGAACAATTAGTGCTGCTCACTATATGAGACTGCTATGGAGGACAGCTATAAGGGAGGGCCTCGACCCAGAAATGGATTACAAAACAAGGGAGTGCAAATTGATACTGTTCTTTGTCTCAAAGAGATAAGGGGAAATAGTTAGACAGAGAAATGACAGCAGTAAAAAAGGACCAATAATGGAAAGAAGTGGGAAGGGGGGCTAGTCAAGGTTTATGAGGATATGGATCGTGGAAGGGGATTGCAAAGAACTAGAATGTAATGATTAAAGAAGAATCCACTTTTTTTTTTTATGGAATATTTGACTGTGTTACTTAAAATATGGCAATTACAAGACAAAAATGGCTTCCCACAGGCTGGAAGCTCTATACAGAAATACATCTAACATAGACTGACCCTTTTACCCTAAAACTATTAAACCAAAAAAAGGGGCCTAGAAACAAGAAATACCCATAAGCATCTATACAAAAAGAAATGCAAGAAAAAATTACCTTACAAAACCACCTGAAAGAGCCCTAGTGAGTCCAAAACTGTTACAGTGACCAACATGCAATTCGTAGAAAAAGCGAGGAGAAAGTACACAAGAGGAAGTGGTCAGGAAGAATGCTCGACATCTTGTCCTTACCAAATAATCGAAAAAGACTATGTACGTTCTCTATCCAGTGATGATGAATCTAGGGTTTGATCCTAGGGTAAATAAAAAGTGGTTTTGTATAACCATGTTATTCCACAAAAAACCATGTTTGGCACCTTTTTGGATACATAATCATGTTTTCTATAACCCAGAAAGAAGGCCAAAAACATGGTTATACAAAACCAAAAAAAAATTTGAGTTATCCAAAACATTGTTTTGTGTAAGAATGAAAAAAGGAATACAACTTGGGACGATATTATTTTCACACACCAGAGATGCCCATTATATTAAATACAATTAATTATGTCAAAACATCCACACAAATTAGAGAGAGAAACCACCTCAAATTTAAGTTATAGAGAGAGAATGTAACTTAAAATTTTTAAAAAAGAAACTATATCAAATTTTAGATAGAGAAAATACTAAAAACTTTTTAGAGAGAAACTATCTCAAACATTTTAGAGAGAGAAACTATATAAAATTTCAAGTTTTAGAGAGAAAAAGTATTATAAAATTTTAAAGAGAGAAACCATATCACATTTTAGAGAGAGAAATTACATAAAAAATTTGGAGAAAGAAATTATATCAAATTATAAATTTTAGATGAATGAAGTATGGAAAAATTTTAGAGAGAAAATAATCAACTTCTAGATAGAGAAACTATCTGAAATGTTTAGCAAGACACTACTTCAAGAATTTTAGAAAGATGAACCACATCAAAATTTTTAGTGAGTGAAATTTTTTAGTGAGAGAAACTATCTCAAAAGTTCAAATTTTAAAAAGAGAAAGCATCTTAAAATTTTAGAGATATAAACTCTATCAAATTTTAGAGAGACGATCTAAAACATTTTAGGAAGAGAAACTATCTCAAAATTTTAAGAGAGAGAAACTATCTTAAATTTCAAGTTCTAGTGAGAGAAAGTATCTTAAAATTTTAGAGATGAAAAATACCTAAATTTTTAGAGAGAGAAACTATCTCAAAATATTTGGAGAAAAACTATATCAAATTTAAAGTTTAGGACAATTTTCTCTCTAAAAATGTCGAGATAGTTTCTCTCTATTAAATTTTTTAGATAGTTTATCTCTCTAAAATTTGATATAGTTTCTCTCTCTAAAAGTTTGGTAAAAAATTTTATAATGGGAGATTTTTTGATATGTATTGTTGCATACAAAATATGTGTAACGTAATTTTCACATGAAAATATTTTGCACAAAAATGTTTAATACGTACCAAATGTGTCATAAGTAGTGTAAACCCAAGTTACGCAAATCGATGACCCAAATGAGGGAGTTTGCATAACTTGGGTATTATCTAAAATCTATCCAAACAGTCAGTTCTCAATAACCAGGATTTAGCATAACCAGTGTTTGCATAACCTTGTTATGATCCAAAACATGGTTTTGTTTACCCTAGGATCCAAACAAGCCCTGTGTTTTATTAGTGTTTTCTGATGAAGATGCTCATATTGAACAAATTAAATAGAGCTTTCAAAGTGACTACAAGGGCGATTACAGAAAATTGTTTTAAACCATTCAAAGAGGATGAAATTTCGAAAGAAAATTTGTATCAATTTCCAATAATGGTGCACTCTCAAAATCTGTTATTAGTGCCCGCAAAAATTGGTATAGATGGAGTAAAAATTTGAAAAAGATAGAATTATTTCTTGATACTGACGCTAACATAAATTTTAAACAAGAAGTTGATACTATGAATGGTAGAAGAAAATTAACAAAATTTGTTATTAATGTTCTTGTAAAAATTGGAGAAAAAGTGATTTTGGTAACTTACCCAAAAAAATTTAAAGCTTACCCCAAAAAAAAAAAATGATTTTGGTAAATTTTGTTAATATTGAGGATGGAGGATATCAAGCAGGAATAGGCTCTATAACTCTAGAGGAAATAAGCCCTTACATAGTGTTGAGAGATATAATAATTTTTACTATAAAAGGAGAAAAATAAATTGTAACTCGAATTCTACCAACTTTCAAAATGAGGTCAAACAATAATTAAAGTAATTCTTCAATAATAAAAATTATGAAAGATATTCGAAAGCAGGAAAAGGAACATGAGAAAAATGAAATCATCAAATAAACAGCATGAGCCTAGAAGGTAGTTCAAAATTACTTGACATAAGAGAAATCATAGAAATCCTCAAAAAGTGTTGTGCTGAACATCCTTTGGGAAACTGGGATAAAGATTCACCCAAAGCCCATATACCACTCTCCATGATATCCCAGTTCAGAGTAAGCTTATAAGATGCATAACGAGGATGAAGATGAGCAAAAAACTCAGATAATAGAATTGACAAAAAAAGGGATAATTAGGCCATCCCAGTCAAATTATTCTTGTGCAGCTTTTATTGTGAGAAATCATTCAGAGGAAAAAAGAGGAAATGCCAGATGGTAATTAATTATATTCCTGTAGATCCGATAACAATAACTATTAAATGGCCATTACCCAATAAAGAATAGTTGATACAGAGAGTTGCATAAAAACAGATTTTCTCAAAATTTGATTGCAAGTCAAGGTATCAAGTGAAAATTGAAGAAGAAGATATTCACAAATAGCCTTCTCTACTCTTGAAGGATTATATGAATGGATAGTGATGCCCTTCGGACTAAAAAATGCTCCATCACAGTTTCAAAGAAGGATGGATTCAATATTTAAACCATTATCTGATTTTATTGCTAACTACACAAATGATTTTGATGTATTTTCAGATAGCATGCAGGAACATCTGAAGCATCTCAAAATATTTGCAAAAACTGTGCAAAAACATGGAATAGGCCTTTGTTCTTCTAAACACAAATTTTAGATCGCCAAAGAATCAATTGATTTTCTTAGGCCAAATACAGATGCAACCCCATGTCATCCAAAAATTGAAAAATTACCAGACAAGCTACAAGATAAATTACAATGTCAGAAATTTCTTGCTTGTCTCTATTATGTTCGAGACTTTATTACCAAGCTTGCTGGAAAGACCAAAAAAATTAGAAAAGCTATGACAGACGAATTATTCTGATGGTTTGAAGAAGCTACTTAGGAGGTAGGAAACCCCAAAACAGAAGCACAATCTCTACCCCCTCTTGCACCTGTATATGGAGGTCCATTTATTCTTTCTACAGATGCACCATCTGACACTTGGGTGGCAGTTTTGCTAAAGAAAGATAACAAAGAAGAAAGAATATGTGCTCACACTAGCGACCGGTTCAAAAAGCATGAGCCGAATTATTGGCCCGCTGAAAATGAAATATTGGTTGCAGTCAAAGGAGTCGAAAAGTTTCATACCAATTTAATTGGAGAAACATTTACTCTCAGAACCAAATTACTCTCCTACCGTTTTAGCCCTCCTTGAAACCAAATTACTAGACCCTGACCTCCATCTCATTCGTCGGGTTTGGGGAAGAAGACCTTGCCAGTGGGTCTCACTACCAGCGAATGGGGCTTCAGGAGGTATGTGGGTGGTCTGGGATACATTAGACCTTACTCTAAACTCCCATTTTATATGGGAGTTTTCAGTCACTCTACTCCTCTCCAACATTTCTGATGGGGTCCCATGGAAATTCTCGGCTATCTATGGGCCAAACTCACAAACCCTCAGCGATAGGCTTTGGAAAAACTGGACTATGTAGCGTCCCTCCCACACCCCATTTGGTGTGCAGGAGGAGATTTCAATGTTGTCCGTTGGTCATATGAGAGGAATTCCTCATCATCGATCTCTCAGGATATGAGGAATTTCTCAGATTTTATCAGCCGTAACGAGCTAATCGACATTCCCCTTCAAGATTGTCAATATACATGGTCCAACCACTCTACCAATCCCACCCTT